AGCAGCCAGGATGGGGGGCTATACCCTGCAAAGCCACAGGGGCAGAGCTGCTCAAGGTCATGGAAGTCTACCTCTTGCATCAGCATGACCTGGATGTGAGACATAGAGTCAAAAGGAGATCATTTTGGGGCTTTAAGATTTGACTGCCCCGCTGGATTTTGCACTTATGTGGGGCATGTAGCCCTTTTGTTTTGGCCAATGTCTCCCATTTGGAATGGCTGTATTTACCCAATGTCTGTACTCCCATTGTATCTAGGAAGTAACTAACTTGCTTTTGATTTTATAGCCTCATAGGCAAAAGGGACTTGCCTTGTATCGAATGAGACTTTGGACTGTGGAGTTTTGAGTTAATGTTGAAATGAATTAAGACTTTAGGGGACTGTTGGGAAGGCATAATTGGTTTTGAAATGTGAGGACGTGAGATTTGGGAAGGGTTATGGGCAGAATGATATGGTTTGGCTATGTTCCCACTAGAATCTCATCTTGAATTTCCATGTGTGGTGGGAGGGACCTGGTGCATGGTAACTGAATCATAGGGTCAGGTCTTTCCCTTGCTGTTCTTATGATAGTGAATAAGTCTCATGATATCTGATGGTTCTATAAGGGGGAGTTTCCCTGCCCAAGCTCTCTCCCTCTTTGCCTACTGCCATCCACATAAGATGTGACTTTCTCCTCCTTGCCTTCCACCATGACTGTGAGGCCTTCTCAGCCATGTAGAACTGTAAGTCCAACAAACCTTTCTTTTGTCAATTGTCCAGTCTCAGGTATGTCCTTATCAGCAGCGTGAAAACAGACTAATACACCGCCAATACTTTTCCTATAACTGGTTCCATTTTGCATGTTACTTGGAAGTCCTTTACAATGTTACATAGTTTTACACATGGAATTCCACAGTGCTTTGCATGTTTTTCTAAAATCATTATACACCTTTATAATTGCCCTTTTTAATGTTGCTTATTTTAGTGTGGTAATAAACAATTATAATATCCTTTTTTTAAAAAAGGAAGTATTTAAAGTCATCTATCTAAATAGCACCATGAGAAGTATTATGTATGTGTATTATGAATGGAAATATGTTTGTGAATACTAATTGTCAATTTATATAAATATTTTAAATACCAATATTATGTAACAAATAGTTTAAAATTCTAGTAGCATAAATATTTAATTTGTTTTTCCTTGAGTCTAAAGGACTGGAAGTTTTTATTCAAATTCAGTTTGATGGAAGAATATCTTAAAGTTTAGAAAGTTAAATAGCATGCTTTGTTTTAATAGTTAACTTAGATTTATATAGAAATTTGGAAAGAATATGATATAAACCTTTCAACTAGCACTCTCTTAAGCACCGGAAAAATCATTACCTTTCCCAGTTCTTTCAATTTCTGTCAAAAGAAGCATAGAGAACAGAACCATATATTTTGGTAATTAATTTCCTTAAGATAATGTTAGAAACATCATGTTCTTTAAAATATAAATGAATTTCAAGGTGAGCATGCTGCAGGATAATATTAATGGAAGTGATTTATTGTGACAAGAGATCTGATCTGAAATACCATTATTAGGAGTACTTAAAAAAATCCATTTGCAAATTCCTGAAAATATGAAAGTGTGCTATGACTGAGCCTGTAGCAATGTTGAAATCTGAACTATCTGCCATTGTAGGTACAAAATTGCTTATGTACAATATGTCTTCCTCGCAGAAATTCATCAGAAAATGTTAATATACTGAATATATCACATTATGGTTCAGGGAATTGCCTAAATGCTTCAAATGATAAGTGTAGAATTAATCTGCAAATGTATAGACTGAAACATACATGCCTAATTGACTTGGTAGTATATGGAATTCTGCGGCTGACCATTATCTTAAAAAATATTTGGCCAATAATTCATTGAACATCTACTCTATACTCAGTTCTTGAACTCACAATAGAAATCTGTGACTTTGTGTCATTTTAGAAGGCATTTTTTATGTTACAATCTCTAGCAAAGAGTCCCTATAAGCTATTTATAAGCAAGATTCATTCATGACTCAAATTTGCAAAGAAGTTTTAATAAAGTTAGCTTTATGTCTTATAAAAAACATTGAAATTTACAAACACATTGTTGTAAATGGCATCTAATCACATACTGAGCAGTGAGGAATGTCACCAATTAGTAGAGCTATTAATAATAAAAAATTAAATAGATACGTGAATAATAGAAGTCTTTATTATTAAGAAGACTTAAAAATTATTCTGTAGAAAGAAATTCATTAACCTCTGACACTTGAAAGAGAGTAATAAATATTGGCATTCTTACATATAGGTTGTCAAATTTGATTAGCACATAAATATATTGATATACGTCTCCATACATTCAATTCTCCCCTACCCTCTCACCACCCCGCTACAATTGTCTCCTTTTTCTGTTGCTATGGTTCTCTTTTTCTCTCTCTTTCCCTCTCTCCTCAATAAGTTTAGGACAGTAATGCCTTACAAATTGCAAACATTTATTTTCTTGGTATATTTCTTAGAGCCTTTAATGAACTTTTTTATGTTAAACTCTCTAAGAGGCACGCTCCATGTGGTATTATCCAAACACAGCTTTTGATTTTTTGCTTGAAACCTATTTTAATATATGAATATACACTTCTTTATAAACATAACATAAATAATATATATGAGTATAAATATTAATGCTTAATAGAATGACATGGAAAGCATAGGCTACTCTATCTTATAATGTGTTTTGGATACATTAATAGCTATATTCATTTCCAGGATATTCCAGGTATATAATCAAGTGCTGAAATCTATACAGGACATATACTTTGACTATTATGTCAATGTATTTTTATATGTGTTTCCTGAACTGAACTGAATCTTGTAAAATAAAAATGTCTATTCTAGGTACAAAGACAACTTATAGGTGTAAAATTTTAATTAGATTACTTTGATTTAATTTTGAAATGCACCTGGAGCAAAATTCAGACAGTACAATAAAGAAAAATACATTTGTCACCACAACCACTTTGCTCCCCTCTCCAGAAGGAACCAGAGTTATAAAATCTGTGTGAATTGTTCTGAAAATACATGTACATATATATATATCCATATATGCATTTATTTCATTTTCTTTATAATAAAAAGTATAGTTTTCTGAACTATGAGGAAAAAAGCAAATCATAAGGTCATGATTTATTTGTAGGGTAAAAAACAAATCAAGGCAATATTTAACATAGGTGTTAGATTATGTTTTTAGTTACTAAAAACATTTTTTTTTTTTTTTTTTTTTTGAGACAGAGTCTCGCTCTGTTGCGCAGAGTGGAGTGCAATGGCGCAATCTCGGCTCACTGCAACCTCTGCCTCCTGGGTTCAAATGACTCTCCTGCCTCAGCCTCTTAAGTAGCTTGGGTTACAGGCACCCGCCACTACACCCTAATTTTTGTATTTTTAGTAGACACAGGGTTTCTCCATGTTGGTCAGGCTGGTCTCAAACTCCTGACCTCATGATCTGCCTGCCTTGGCCTCCCAAAGTGCTGGGATTACAGGCGTGAGCCACTGCGTCTGGCCTAGTAAAAATATCTTAATTGGTAAATTTAATGAAAAATTAGATACAAACTCACTAATCATGAAATATTTGCTGTGATGATTTATGCATAAAGTAGTGCACTCAATTCTAATATTTAGAAAACTATAAAACAATTTTGAAATAGTTTTCAACAGCATTTATTTATTGTGAACCTACGTGGGAGAAGATTACATCAATGTACTCATGAGTGACAAAATTGAAATAAATGTAAGAATGTCCAGGGGCCGGTATATAATAAATGGTCTGTAACATTTATGGCAAGATGTAAGTCAAATGCAGAGATAATAAAGTCCCTGGCTTTGAATATCAATAGATAGATAAAGTCACTTAAATATCTATACAGAAATGCTAGTTATGATTTTGACTTTGTGAGCTGAATAGAGTGGAAATGAGTATAAATAATTGAAGCAAAAGATAATTCACTTCTTCTGCCCCACTTTTCTAGGGGAGTAAGGTGGAGAGAGCCTTATTTCCTTCTAGAAATGGGGAAGATACGGAACCAAGGCTTTCCTTATTTCCCTAAGTAACTGTGAAGGACAATGTCTACATTTTTTATTTCTTTTTTTTTTTTTTTAAGACGGAGTCCTGCTCTGCCGCCCAGGCTGGGGTGCAGTGGCCGGATCTCAGCTCACTGCAAGCTCCGCCTCCCGGGTTCACGCCATTCTCCTGCCTCAGCCTCCCGAGTGGCTGGGACTACAGGCGCCCGCCACCTCGCCCAGCTAGTTTTTTGTGTTTTTTAGTAGAGACGGGGTTTCACCGTGTTAGTCAGGATGGTCTCGATCTCTTGACCTCGTGATCCGCCCGTCTCGGCCTCCCAAAGTGCTGGGATTACAGGCTTGAGCCACCGCGCCCGGCCAATGTCTACATTTTTCAATAAAAAATGTTTGCCTATTGCTCTTATGAGGAAAGTAATTTTGTTCGTCAAGGCTTTCCCCTTGAAGAAATGTCTCTAAAACTAATTTATATTGGCATTGATATTACTATAATTTCTTTCGCATTTAGTTTAGACTAGTTTGAAGCTAATAGTCCGAAGATATATAATCCCTGTGTAATATACACTTAGCATTATCAAATCAAAACCCTGTGTTTTTCCTTGGGATTAAGGTTGATTGCTGTTCATATAAGTCATGCAAACTTCCAGTGTGTCTTAAAACTATTATTTTCATCTTTTACTTGAAATCTTTCTTTATAGTATATGAGAATGAAATAGAGATGACCCATTGCATTCCTCATTATAGTTTCATCACAACCTAAGAAAAATTTAATTCATTTATCCTATCATCTTCATACTTACACACACACACACACACGCACACACAAAGCCTCATTAAGCCGCTACATTATAAAATATTCTATACCATCTAGTGATCTTTTTATGGCAAAATTCAGCAACTATATCTATAATTTCATCTCTTTTGTCGCCTTACCTACTGTTGAATTTCTCTGGGTGTTTTTCTCTCATGATGTGGAATCTGTGTGCAATGGAGGCATCCTAAGGGGAGAAAATAGAAAACAAAAACAGGATGGTTTATGGTCCTATTATCTCATGAAAATGTAGACTAAAATTTAAAAAAAGAACATTTTAAAATGAACTTTTCTTTACAATATTATTGCCAAGAAGATTATGTGAAATTAGGCAAAAATGTGTGATCCATATAAATTATATGCAGAAGTGATTTATGTAATAATTTCACAATTGATTATTTGTTACATTTACATCTAAGACTTTATTGCTATTTAATTTCTATATCTCCTTTTAATGACCAGCTTTGACCTCATGTTCAACGTATGTTGAAGATAGCACATATGAGCATAAATGTCAAATAGTAATTGAAAATATTGTTAAACAAGAGTTAGAAGGATAGCCTAAGTGGAGAAATGATCAGTACAGAAGCTCCTAATTATTTGAGATTAATTATGGGTAAAAAGATGGTGTGAGGGTGCATGTCTAGTAAAGATAAGTGCAATACTTGACTTCAGAATTTGCTTAGGTTGTCTTGATGTGTAATTAATAATAGTTTGTACCACAAGCAACTTTCTGGCATATCTCGTTGAATAGAAAAACAACAACAAAGAGCAAATTTTGGGGGAACTGTTGACAAATACCATTTGTCTCTTAGACTCCAAGTGCATCAGTTCTGACCCTAATGGATGTTTCTTACTTTTAGCAAATACAGATTTTTTTTCATGAGATAGAAATCGTACTCAATGTGTGAGACTGGTGAAATACTGCTATCCAAGCTTTTCAAGCACAGACTGCTGCAACTGACTCTAAACAATTATCTCTGTTATTCCAAGTGTGGAGATATTTTCCCATTCTTCATCCACACATGATTAATCACTCAAATGAGAAACTAATATATTTACCAGTCACCTCAATAGAAAAGGGCTATTGTTGACATTCACTGTTAATTTTGTTTCAAAGTGGAGATAAAAGTAAAAGAAAACCAAACGCAAGGAAATAAAGAAGTTGTGTATTTGAGAGAATCTTGAAAACACTAATCAAGGATTAAAAGTCTAATGAATGAAATGAAAGGCTAATGTGCTTACTCATGCATAACAAAGCGTGAAGCACAAAAAGAGAGGGACCAATGCCCACTGCAGATGGCAGAGAGTTGCAAGATAGAGCTAACTGTAATTTTTTCTGTGCAAACATTTGAAACCCTAAAATTTGTCAAGTAATTGAATTAATCTATGAATGAAAATCACCCAGACACATAGATAGAGGTGTACAGAAACAATGCTTATAATAAAGGTTACAAAAATCCCCCTCTACGGTTTAATATTTAAGACCTTATTTTGCTATATACACATGGCCAACTTCCTGGTTTGCTAGGAAGTACAAATATCAAGATGGTTCACTTTTGTTGGTCCATTGATAACTCTCAAACTAGTCCAGAGTTCCTTTTTATAAGTTTAATTCTGTTAAGTCATAAACATATTATACTTTATAATATGAAGTTGTCTTACTGTGGTATGAGATTACAGAAAAAACATCTGAACTGGGCTATTTATGGTATATGTAGCATGATCAATTAATTAATTTTGAAAAGCATTTATTTTTACTTTATCTGTAATCTGGTACAAAATCAATTTGGAATATCTTCCAATTAAATGCATACATTCAGCAGACTATTTAAACAAAGCAAAGGAATATGAATCAAACACTAAAAATGAATGATCAATATTGCTTCCCATAGGGAGAGTATCATTGAATTTACTTCTGCTTGAATTATTTGTTTCTGCTAAGTTGGGGAGGCTGAGACTTTTAAAAATAGATTGTGTAGTATTTTTTTTTTACAAGTGTATATTTTTGTAATAACAAATTTCTTCCTTTTTCAAAGCAACATAAACAGAATAGAGAAAGAGAGAGAGGAAAGAAGAGAGGAAGGAGGAGAAGAGAGGGGAGAGATAGCAAAAGACCATTTAAGTAGACTGACTATAATTGGGTAAACTCCTAGAAACACAGGACTGCATAGTCAAAGATAAAACTAATATTAGCTTATCTATCTTCAAGATTCTTGGGCAATGGATCATTTAGTTAAGAGGGGAAAAAATAAAACTTAGTGTCAAACACTAGCAGGTCTTTTCCTTGTGTTGAATAGGTTCCACCATGAAAAGAGAGCTGGCATTGCCGACTACAGGGTTGATAAGGAACAATGACAGCAGGTGTTCATTTGGATGAGAATTCAGACCCAATTCACATGGGACCCTGTCCCTTTGGCATAACCCCAAAGGGCTTGATAGAGTACTGCCAAAATCTGCAACATTATCCAGCAGCCATTTTTCAAGAGACACTAAAGGTTCTCTAAAGACAGACCAAATAAGAAAAAGCTAAAATGTCATTTTAAAATAAATTTTATCATTTCTGTCTGAATGCATTATAGTTTTTAGACAACAGAAATAAATCAGCATTACTTCCGCTTCCTAGAATGCAGAAACTCTGAATTCAGAATTTCTACTTCCAAGCCTTGTGACTTTAAACAAATTATTTATTCGTTGAGAATCACAGCTTCCTTATCTTTAAAAGAGGATACTGATATCCCTTCAAAGTACCTTGGTGGACATTTAATATCATTCTCTATAGCAATTGGAACAGTATTCTATATAGCTGGGATTTTCATACATCTTATATACAAACCAGTATTTTCTTAAAGTTAAAAGAGAATGCTAAACATGGTTAAGTTACATATTTTTGAAATATATTTTTACAGACTCAAATTGCTTTTTATTATTTCCTTAACCTATATAGCTTTATTTTTAATTTAAAAAACATATCTAAGAAACGAAAATAAATCAATTTTATTAAAGCAAAACAAATTTAAACCTCATTGTGCTATTCAAACAATAAAAAAGTAATTAGCAACATTTTTGCTATATTTACATATATAAGTATATACTAATATATGTATATCAAATAATCAGTTTATTAGCCATATCTGTCTCCAATACTTGGTCACTAGTATTTTTCGGAAACGTATTTTTCCTTTTTCTCTATAGGCTTATTTATGTTTTAAATAAAATTGCCCTAAATCTCCAAATTTGCATTTTATGATATTAACTTGAAAAGCTGATTATTTTCTATGGATCATAACTTTTCAATTGAAAGACTATTCTATATGTGTTGAGATCCCAGAGTCTATAGCAAATCCTGCTGAGGAGAATATTGTTTTTATAAAATGTAAAATATATCTACCCAAATATTGTCATCAATATTATCTTTTATTCTGTTTAAAGACTCTTTCTCTCACAAATAGTTTCTAAAATTTTTCAAGTAAATTGTTCTGGTTTTTGATGATTTGGACATTGTACCACATTAAATATCTTTTCAATTTAATCCATTTTAGAATAGAATATAAATGTATCCAATTAGAAATGAGTTATTAAAAATCTAATTTTAGAATTAAATTTTAGAATTAAAATTTTAAAATTAAAAATAATCTTGCATACTCTAGGGGTTTTTACTGTTGAAATAATTTAGTTCTTTCTTGGTTTTGGAGGAATAAATTCCAATCTATCCCTGTGTGCAAACTTTTCTTTTCCTCAAAAATTGTAATTTACTAAGAAGTTTCAAAAGCTGAAGTTTTCAGTGTTATATTTGTTGAATATTTTATTAAAGATTTCCAGTAATTTTTTGAAGTGTTATTGCATACAAGAAAATTGCCAATTTTAAGTGTACACTTCAATAAGTTTTGTCAAAGGTATACAGTAACAACAATCTTTTCCTATGCTTTTGTTCATTCATATTTCTTCTTACGTGGACTACATATTGAAGTCTGTGTCCATTTGTCTCTGTATATTAAATTGACTGGGTTCAAGACCCAGCTCTAAATTTTACTGAATATTTTACCTCGAAAAGTTTGCTTAGATTTTCATTATTGTCATTTTCCTATATTAAAATAAGAATAATTTTAATATCTGCCTTGCTTTAAAGATCTGCTGTTCTAATACCTGGAAGATAACTGGAACTGTGCTTGGTGTATAGAAAGCAAGAAAATAAATGTTAGCTGTTACTATTATTGAAATATATTCTGGCCGGGCGCGGTGGCTCAAGCCTGTAATCCCAGCACTTTGGGAGGCCGAGGTGGGTGGATCACGAGGTCAGGAGATCGAGACCATCCTGGCTAACACGGTGAAACCCCATCTCTACTAAAAATACAAAAAAATTAGCCGGGCGTGGTGGCAGGCGCCTGTAGTCCCAGCTACTCGGGAGGCTGAGGCAGGAGAATGGCGTGAACCCAGGAGGTGGAGCTTGCAGTGAGCCGAGATAGTGCCACTGCACTCCAGCCTGGGCGACAGAGCAAGACTCCACCTCAAAAAAAAAAAAAAAAGAAAAAAAGAAAAAAATATATATATTCATGATTTTGAGACTCATAATACCTTCTTCTCCTTTGGTTTATTGAGATGGTTAATTAAATAAATTGCATAATCTTTAAGAGGAAGTACATGAGGAAATTTTTGCTTTGGTATTCAGAATTTTATGGGTTATGCATTCATATTTGATAAATTATCTAACAAACTCAAAAGGGTCAGGAATATCACACTATACTTAAACTTCACATAAATATTTCTGCACTAGTACATATGAATATTGACTCAAGGAAAGATAAATTAACAATGTGAGATAGAGCTAACTGTAATTACAGTTACACTAGAAACACTACACTTTGTAATACTACAAAGAGCAGCTTAGTTCGGGTTACAGTTCTCACCAAGAAACTATACAAAACCGGGTTTTCAGAGCTTTGTTAGATTGAGCTTTTAGATAAGAGATTGTGGTTCTGTATTTCCCAGGTGGAATAAAACAATGTTTGCTCTCCTGACAATCTTTACCTGAATGTACTGTGCTCTCCTGACAATCATTACCTGAATATACTATTTATATAAGGCACTATTTTTACCTGTTAATATTTTTAAAGAAAATTACAATTAATAGCCACAAGTGGGATTATTTCCCAGGCAGATTGTATCAGATATTGCTATCTGTAGTGC